GCAGTTGTTGCGGGGGGTCTTCAGTGTACACGCGACCAGTGTGCCGGACTGAGGGCACCACCTTGCCTTACTGCGACCTCTGTATCTACGGGGGCTGTCGCCTCGCGCCGTCTAGTTGTGCCCCCTGCCTCGATATTCGCAAATTCAGAGCGTCTCCAAATTCTGACTAGCGAGGGCCGCGTTCCCTGGAATGTCCTCCAGCGGACGGTTGAGTTTTCGACTTATTCAGATCCCGTCTTGCCGCAGGCCCCATGTAATGATTCACCCCCGTGCGGGGCCGACCGACCTGATCGGAGTTCTTCCGCCTTCGAGCCCCCCCCTCCCCGAATATCGAGCCCCAGGCGAATAAAGCCGATGCTCGCCCGATCAGGTTCGTTCGAGAGGGTGCGGATGCCTCAGATGGCCCCCGAGGCTCGGCACCCTCCTCTCGGCTGCGCGCCACCCGAGGAGGTCCGCCGAGTATGGGGCAGCGCGGGCGGCGCTCGACCGGCCGTCAGCGCACTCGATTGGCCACCAGCTGCCAGAGCAGCGGGCAGAGGCGGCAGAGCAGCGCGCAGAGCCCGCAATCGTCCCCCTGTCTCGATATGGAACTCTATTGCGTATTATAGTATATCATATAATAATATGTTATATTATATTGTGCTATATGATATCATATCATAACATATCCAATTATAGTATATTAAATTAAAGTATATTACATTGTATGCTAATATATTATATTATCGTATTTTATATTATATTATGGTATACTATATATATTATGTTTTATTATCTTATACTATATTATATCATATTATATTATATTACATTGTATTATATTATATTATATTATATTATATCATATTATAGTATATCATGTTAAAATATGTTATAGTATATTCTGCTATATCATATGAGAGCATATCATATCATATCATGATATATTATATTACGTTATATTATGTTATATTATATTGTATTATATTATATCATATTGTATTATAGTGTATTATAACATAATATTTTTTGTATGTTATGATCCTCCTCCTCCTCCTCCTCCTCCTCTTCCCCCCCCGCCTCCTCCTCCCCCCGCCTCCTCCTCCTCCTCTTCCTCCTCCTCCTCCTTTTCTTTCCCCTCCTCCTCCTCCTCCTCCTCCTCCTCCTCCCTCCTCCTCCTCCTCCTCCTCCTCCTCCTCCTCCTCCTCCTCCTCCTCCTCCTCCTCCTCTCCTCCTCGCGACGGACAGTGCGGCGATGACTCCGGGGGGCCCGAGGTCACCGCGCGGTCCGTCACCGTACCGTTTCGGGAGGCCTCTGGCCAGACCCAGCCTTGACCCAGGGCCATCCTTTCCGCAGTTGCGATGCGTCCTGGCCTGCGTAAGTATATGCATAAGAGTTGCAATAAGAAAAGGCCGACCAAAGCGTGTTTTAAGAACCTTGCGTGGTTCCGTTCCCACGATATGTTTTCATACTGATTATAGATGGGACCGTCTCGCCTGATTTTTCATCGGCTCTACGTTCTAAGAATATTGTTCTTGTTCGTATAACATGATCTGCATGTGGTTCCACCCTGCGATCCGACGGCGCGAAAAATTGAGACATCGCTAGAACAAATACGACCGGAGCCTCGTACTTCACCTTTCAGCGCCACTTTCCGAGCCAGATTCATAGGTGAGGGTCCTCGGGTCCGAAAATTGGCGAAAACGTCCTGTTCGAAAAATTGGGAGGCCAGGATCTCAGGGTAAGACAATTCCGCGGCAGGCCTACAGGGATGGCGGGACTGTCGGTCCCTACCCAAGCCTGGCCAAGCCAGGGGGGGGCGCATGTGCTGCTGCTGGGCCTAGGACCCGCCGAGGGCGGGGGATCGACGTGAAGGTCTCGTGGCCTTGCTGCGGGGTGCGTCCGTGCCCTCGCTCTGCCCCTGGGCTGGGAAAGGGCACACGCACGTGCTTTTGGTCGCCTGCGCGAGAGGTCGCCCCGTGGCGCAGCTTAGGAGGAGGAGGAGGAAGAGGAGGAGGAGGAGGAGGAGGAGGGGGAGGAGGAGGGGGAGGAGGAGGAGGAGGAGGAGGAGGACGACGAGGAGGAGGAGGAGGAGGAATAGGAGGAGGAATAGGAGGAGAAGGAGGAGGAGGAGGAGGAGGAAGAGAAGGAGGAAGAGGAGGAGAATATGGAGGGGAAAAAACACCAAGACACAAATGATCTTCGATCCCCAGGAACATAGGGGAAAATATAGGACGTGGGGGTAAGACGCATATCCAGAACATTTGGAACATGGGAGTCCTGGGATGTGTGTATATTTGTTTGTGTGTCCCTGGGCCCCTCCAGAGAAGGGGGGAGGAGGAGAAGAGGAGGAGGAGGCAGCAGCAACAGCAGTCAGCAGTGTAGGCGCGGCCAGGCCGGTTCCTCAGCGCGCCCCGGCTTTGCGGGGCGCGCGCTCCCGCCGCGCGGCCAGACAAGCCGTTGCCGCGCGGACCTCCTGCCAGGGGCAAAGTTTCGGCCGGACGGGCTCCTCAGGGGCGCTGGCGTCTGCGCCAAGCACATCCTCTACAGCGCTTTCCAGAAATAGGCGTGGCGAGGTCCACCGCAAGGACCAGCCTGGCTAGACCTCATGTTTTCATCCGGCGCCGTGGCGGGACTTACAACTTGTGTAGAATTTGGCAGGCGAATGTTTGCGCCGTTAGGGCTCTGGAGACAGAACAGGAGAAATTTGCTCCTGAGGCATTGTGGCAACCAGGACATTCCGCCTCCGACGGGCGCATCATCATCATCAGGGACGTCGGCAAGGGGGACTATCTAGAGGGGGCATCGACCCCAAATCGCCCAATCCTCGCCGATCGCGGCTTGGTGCCCCATCTTGTCCAGGAACGCCGGGCTCCCCCATCGGGAGCCTATCGCCGATCTGCCGGCTGCTTATAGTCGGTTCCAGGTCATTGTTCCGACCCGAGCAGGCAGCCGAGCTGTACCAAGACACGCAGCGTGCTCCTGGTCCCGTGCGCGAGGCACTGCAAGGTCAGCGACATGAACCTCGAGGAGGGCGCCTGGCGGCACGACGTCACCCACGAGATTGGCGACGGCGAGACGGAGTATTTCCGTGCAGGCGAGCGCGTCGACGGGCTGCTCTTGGGCTGGCGCAAGGCCCTGCTCGAATTCTCAGCGGAAGGGCGCAGCAGAGTCTTGGAGGCAATCGGCGCGCGGGGGCAAGGAGGCCTTTGACGGACGAGTTCATCGCGAGTTGCACCATCGATTTCACCAAGGAGCCGCACGGCCAGGGTCTCGTCTTCGCCGACTGCCTGTCGAAACAGTAGATCGCGGCAGTCACTCTCCGAGCGTGGCTCTAGCATGTCATCTACGCGCCCATGGCCCCACACGCCACGAGCTGTTTGCAAGAACCATACACCCACGAGCACAGCCAGCTTAAGGCAGCGACCCGCGAGGTCAAGGCGGATATCCAGCGTGCGGTCGAACAGGCTTGGCTGCAAAAGGTCAAGGCCGAACCCCAGAAGAGGTACGTTTACCCGATCATCTGGGGACCCTACGAATGCTTCTAGTGCATCTCCGAGGCCTACCATCGCTTCAGAAGGAGGCAGTGCAGCTCCAGGGGCTACAAGCGAAACAGATGGTGGCGGTCCGGCCGACCGAGCAGGGCGAGCTCAAGGTCGCCACGGGTTCCCAGCCCTGGAGTTGCTCGGTGGAGCCCGGCCGCGGCATCGAGCCGAGGCTGGCGATAGAGCGCTTCGAGGGCATCCAGGGTTGGCCCGAAAACGTGCCGCCCGTGCCAGACTGGAGCGTCCTGGACGGCGACTGCTTCCGCGTCGAGGACCTGCCCAAGGACTACGAGGACGACGACGATCCCTGCCCCCTGGAGCTCGAAGACCTAGAACTCGAGCTGACTGCCGAGCAGAAGGACATGCCGTGGCCACCCGAGGGGGGAATCAAGGACGGCGAGTTCCCTCGCGCTCTCCAGGACCGAGTCAAGATCAAGAGGGCGAGGCAGCACAGGAGCAGGCGGGAGAGTAAGTGGCAGCAGCGAGAATGCGGGAGCAAACAGAGCAAGGCTGGAGGCCAGGCGGCGCGTCCTAGTCCTCCCACCCCTCTAGGGGGTGGCCCGCCTGAGCGAACGCGGCATCGCTGCGCTATAGTATTTGTCTGGAGTCCTACTCTTCCCACCCGTCCAGGGAGGCCCCGCCTGAGCGTGCACAGCGCCGCTAGACCATTGTATTTGTCATGATTCCTACTCCTCCCACTCCCCCAGGGATGCCCCACAAAAGCGGAAGCGGCGTCGTCATATAAGAGGACGCCGCATCCATCCGTGCACTCCGAAGGACTCCGTTCATTCTTCCTCCCCCCCCCCCTCTTCCTCCTCCCCCTTCTCCTCCCCCTCCTGCTTTACGCTGCAACTTGCCGGGAAGAAGTGCATCGTCCACCCCGGAACCCCGAATTTTATCTTTCCCTCCCTTCGATTATCGGGGGCGCAGGGTTATCTAGGCAACATACCAAGCTATCGTCGTGGATTTTGAAGATCGACTATGGCTGAATCGGGCCACGCGCCGCCGTACCAGACGTGACGCCGACGCCCGCGACGATGCTGATGACCGTGCGGATGATGATGGCGAAACTGATGATGACCATGCTTATGCGCACTACGATGGCAAATGTAATGATAGGGATGACGAGGATGCTGGTAAATATGAGGAAGATGACGATGAAAATGCACGCCAATGATTATAGTGGTGATGATGGCGCTGGTGGTGATGGCGGCGACGATGGTGACATTGAGGCATATTAGGGGCAATATGAAGATGCTCATGCTGATGCGGATGTAGATCATCAGCATCAGGATGAGGATGGTGGTGGTGGTAATAATGATGATGGTGATGGTGATGATGGTGGTGATGACGGCGGTGCCAATGATGCCGGTGATGACCATGATGACGACGGCGTCCCAATGAGACGAAGTGACGGCGCGACGATGACGCCGATGGCCTCCACGACGGCGGCGGGAGCTGCCGTCCGGCGGCAGGACATGGCCCGGGAGCGGCAGGAGGCCGAGCGGCTGTGCGAGGACGAGGTCGGCCAGGTCCCGCCAGCGGAGGGGGAGGGGATTGGAGGGAGGGGGGGGGACGGCTGACCTGGTGGAGGTGTTGGAGGATGAGGAGAAGGGAAGGGAGCGAGCAAAGGAGGAGGAGGAGGAGGAGGAGGAGGAAAAGGAGGAAGAGGAGGAGGAGGAGGAAAAGGAGGAGGAGGAGGAGGAAATGGAAGAGGAGGAGGAGGAGGAGGAGGAGGAGGAGGAGCAGGAGGACGAAACAAGGAAACGGAGGAGGCGGAGGAAAAGGAGGAGGAGGAGGAGGAGTAGGAGGAGGGAGAGGAAAGGAGGAGGTGGAGGGGAAGAGGAAGAGGAGGAGGAAAAAGGGACGGCGAGGCAATTTAGGAGGAGAACAAGAAAAGGAGCGGGAGGAGGAAGAGGAAGAGGGAGACGAGGAGAAAGACAGGAGGAGGAGGAGGAGGGACCGAGGAGAATACTAAGAAAAAGGAGGATGAGAAGGTGGATGAGGAACGCCGCGTAAAGCGCAACCCACCAGCCCAGCTTGGCGCAACCTGTGATGGCGCAGCCCAGCGCGCAGTCTGTGGCGCACGCCCGGAAACGGAACGGCCCACCCTCTCCCGCGCGCAAGCGAGGTGTGCGTCCCCGGAAGGAAAAAATTCGGGGCAGGATGAGGAGGGGATCGGCGCAGTGGGGGTCGCATCGACCCCCGATCGCCCACGCATCGCCGGTGGGGGCCCGATAGCCCACCCAGCGCAAGAGCGTGCGGTCTCGCTGTCGGGGGGCATGCCGCCGATCTCTCGGCGATGTACCGCCGATTTTCTGTACCTTCGATTTCATGCCGATGTTCCCCCACCTCGTGCCGGCCTCCCCCGATCGTTCCCCTTCAAAAGCGGAGGAAGAAGAGACATTGGATCAGAGCCCCGAATCATCAGTGGTAACTCGGGTCAGGGCTAACTCGGGTTCGTTTTTCGGGATTCCGAACCCGCGTTATTCCGGACCCGAGTTACCCCGGATATTTCGGGCGTCCAGAGCCCCGAATCATCAGGGGTAACTCGGGTCAGGGTTAACTCGGGTTCGTTTTTCGGGAACCCAAACCCGAGTTACCCCGGACCCGAGCTACCCCGGATAATTCGGGCGTCCAATTGGAGAAGGAAGAACGCGAGGAGGGGGAGGAGCAGGGCTTCGGGAGGCAGGAGGGGGCGGTCACGGCTGCTCCCTCCTGGCCACCCCTCCCAGCGGTGCACTGGGCGACGTGGGAACCCCGCGGAAGCCGCAGGACGTCCCCGCGGCCCAAAAAACTTTGGAGGAGGAAGAGGAGACAAAGGACGAGTAAGAGGAGACAAAGAAGAGGAGGAGGAGGAGGAGGAGGAGGAGGAGGAGAAATACGAGGATGAGCATGATGAGTGAGGCACTGCGTGCCCCCCAGAACTCGCGGCCCCTCCCTGGAGATCGCTTTTCATGTCGGATCGATTTCTGATAGTCCCGGGCCCAAGAGCGGCCCACGGAGGCAAGATTGCCCCCCCAAAAAAGTAGGAAAAACGTCGGAATTGAAACATTCACGGCGCAGGAGGCTTGGGAAGGAGACGGTCGGCGAAGAAGGCTACCTCCAGCGTGGTGCTTTTTCATGCCGACGTTGATCCTCGATCTCGGCCTCTGGGGCTCTCTCACGGGCTCGGGACCGTCGGGAAACGATCCAGTACGAAAGCGGAAATATCACCCGGAAGGGGTCGGTAGATTTCTGAAGGAAACGCATTGGAAAAAGCACGGCGTCGCACGTCTGGGGCCTGGGGCTCAGAAGGACGACTTGGGGGAGCAGAAGGAAGGAGGAGCATGAAGGCGTCTGGACATCTGGCTCTTTTGCCCCCCTGACGACTCCAGACGCCTCTTGGGATTTCTCTGGAAATCTCGGGGGATCTCCAGAGGCTTCCAGGAAGGAGGAAGAGGAAGAGGAGGGGGAGGAAGGTAGCTTGTATCACCCTTTTCCCATTCTGAAGGAGGAAGAGGAAGAGGAGGGGGAGGAAGGTAGCTCGTAGCACCCTCTTCCCATTCTGTGAGGCCTCCCGGCTCGATCCCGAGGAGGCGGAGGGCGGAGGAGAGCACCGCGACGAGGAAGCAGAGGAGGGGCAGGGGCCGAGTTGGGGGGGAGAGGGGCAGCAGGGAAGAGGACGAGGAGGATAATGATGATGAGGAGGAGGAGGAGGAGGAGGAGGAGGAGGGGGAGGAGGAGGAGGAGGAGGAGGAGGAGGAGGAGGAGGAGGAGGAGGAGGAGGCGGAGGAGGAGGAGGAGGAGGAGGAGAGAAGATGGGGATCGAGGGAGGAGCAGGAGGAGGAGGAGGAGAAAGAGGAGGAGGAGGAGGAGGAGGAGGAGGAGAAGTTGGCGGCGGTCTTGAGATTACCATCCTGGCACTTGCCTGACAATGTGGCGTGGGAGTGGCTCGAAGCTGCGCTCTCGCGGACACCCGCCGGGGCTCGTGCTTCCGGTGACCCTCCGCGCGAAGCCCAGCGGCAGGGCAGGGGAAGGGCAACGCACGACGCGGCACAGTCGAGCTTGATCAGCAGGCCGACCCTGCCAAATCCAGGGTGCCCTCGTGTCCTGCGTTTTGCGACCCATGCCTTCTGCATTCATATGGCAATGTGGCCCTCGGAAGGTCACCACCCACCAAACCACCCCAACCCAACCCGAAGGCCTCAAATTGACCTTCATTTCCAGTGGGGGGGGGCGGGGAATATCGAGAAAACACATATGGAACCCGTACCCCCCCAAACCCGAAATTCGGGTCTTCGGGTTGGGTTGGGGTGGTCTGGTAGGTAGTCAGAAGGGTCTGGTGTCCTCTCGCGCGTCCTGTCCAGTCAGGTCCGACTGCAGAGGCAGCAGTGCGTTCTCCGCACGTGCGCGGCGCACGGATCACCAGCACGGCAGGCGGGCCCCGCCTCCCGACGGGTGCTGGCGCCCAGCGCCGCCGCCTGGCCCGGCGCAGGCCGAGCCCGCTGGGGCGCGGCAGGCGCAGCCTCCTCGTGCCCAGATCAGACAGCCGGCGTCTTGATCGAAGTCGGGCCCGTCCCTTCCCTACAGGGGGGGTACTTCTTTGATTGACGGCTCCGAGGACAGCTCCAGGAAGCGGGACGGTCTCGGCTGGGGCACAGGGCGATACAGGGGGAATACGCAAAGATAGTCGAAAAATAGTCTGGGGACGATTGCCGTGACCATTTTCGAGCATTGTTGGGCTCTCTTATGACTATTTGTAACTTTTTGGTTCAACCTGCGCCTGTAGGGGGGCGCAGGCCCGACGTAAGTCTTGATCTCTCCCATGCGGGGTCCCCGGAAGCGCCCATCCTCTCCCTGGGTTGGGCGTTGCGTAATAGGGGGGTCATACATGGGGGGGTGGCGAGGGTGGTCCGAAAAGGTACCCAAACGGTGCCTAAACGAGCCCCCTGGGGCTCCGGAGGGGCCCGAAAGGGGCACGAAAGGGGGCCGTTTCTGACCCCCCTATTTGTGACCCCCCTCCTGGGGGTTGGAGGGGGAGGAGGAGGAGGAGGAGGAGGAGGAGGAGGAGGAGGAGGAGGAGGAGGAGGAAGCCACGCCCAACTGGGGTTGGTTCTCGATCCAGACTCCTTCCTGTTGCGGCACAGGCGGCCCGGCGTGGGCATCCGGCATCTGGAGGCCGCGCACGGCCGAGAGCCACCAGCCGTGATTCCTGCCGCGGCGGCGTGCACGTCTACGGTCTCTCCCTCCCTCCCTCCCTCCCTCCCTCTCTCCCTCCCTCCCTCCCTCCCTCCCTCCCTCCCTCCCTCCCTCCCTCCCTCCCTCCCTCCCTCCCTCCCTCCCTCCCTCCGAGATGCTTCCCCAACGCAGCCGCCAGGTCCAGCGGAGGCTCGCGAACGCAGAGGAGCTCCTGCAGGAGCGCGCGGCGCGGCACTGCGTCACCTCCCGCCGCCAGGGCGAAGGGGGGGGGGGGCAGCAAGGATAAGGATCAGCACGCGCGCTTGCGTTCAGCATGTGCGTCGAGGGCGTTCCAGGCAGTGTCGTTCTTGCAAGGGTGCAGCTTCCGAGCGACACCCCACTAGTCGTGGGGTCGTCGTATCTGCCTGACAAAAAGGGCCTCTCCGAACAGCACCGTGGAAGTGCTCAGTGCCGTCGGGGGCGCGGTTCAGGCGTTGGGAGATTATTTTTTAGGGGGAGTGTTCAACATGTCCCCTGAAACCTCATGTGTGGCGGGTCCCCCAAGAAGGGAAGAGAAATAATGAATCTTGATGTTGATGCCCCCTGTTGTACTGGCCAGAGAGGCCAGGGCTTCATCGGTTAATTTGTTGTGACGACTGGGATTGCCAAGGCTAACGAAGCGGTTGAACAAGTTTCGGACACAAGCAGTAAGACCCACACCACATCCCTGTCCCCTCCTCCGTTCCCTGTTCTCTCCATCCTTCCCTCTTCCGCCCTCCTCTTCCGCACTCCTTTTCCTTCCAAGTCGCCATCATTCCTCCTCCCCCCCCTTCCCCCATCGACGAGTAAGGATAAAGTTACCGCGTGAGCGCACACCAGCACACAAAACACATGATTTAATGCTAGTTCTGCACTGCTGCGAATGATGCGAGCACGGCGGCCAAGCCCCTTACGGCTTACATTTGCTGTGATATTCGCAAGGTTTGAGCAAGTCGACGATAGTGGATGTCCCACCTCCTGCCTCACACATGCAGGCAATTCCCTTCCCCTCATCCCCCCTGCCTTCCTCCCCCCGCCCCCCCCCATTCACCTCCCCCCTCCACCCTCCACCCCCTTCCTCCCCCCATTCCTCCCCCTACTCTTCCTTCTCGCCCCCTCCCTTCTTTCCCCCTCCACCCCCCCTCCTCCTCCCCCCCCCCCATTCGTGCCAGGAGGCGGCCCTGCACCGGACCCGGGACGCCGAGGACCCCCCCCCCGCCGCGCAGCGCACGGCCCCCAAGACACGTCGCGCCGCGAGCACAGAAAGAACGGGAGGGCCGGCCAGCTTCCAGGTGCAGGTTGGTCTGGTCTGCTTGGAAGCTGGTTTCGGCGGCGAGCGAGGGGGGGAAGTGTCAAGTCGGGCATGCCCCTTTACAGGAGGAATGTTCGAGAACAGTTTGAAAACATAGTCTGGGGACGAATCGTCGTGCTTGTTTGACTATGCTTGTGATTCTTCTGTGGCAATTTGTGATTTTTCTTCCAAAGGTCTGCCTGTAGGAGGACATGCCCGACCTAAGGGAAGTGAGAAGGAGGAGGCCCTCTCAGAGGGCGGCGGGACTTCTCCAGAAGCCCTCGCGCCTTCCGAGAAGGTTTTCTGCATCTTCGAGGAAGGCTTAGAAAACTTCTCAGAAGGTTTGGGGACTTCGAGCCTTCTGAGAAGGCCCGCCCCTTCTCGTTTCCCCCCTCGCTCGCCGCCGAGTGAATAAATGGGGGGCGATACGCGTTGGCCATGTGTGTTCCAGCTCCGAGGTAGTTCGCCATGAAGGAGAGGGGTCCTGTGGGAAACGCGTCCTGGAGATCTCCTCGTCGTTCGCCAGGCTCCAGGACGCTCAAGCACTGAGCGGGATGAGGGGCTGGCCCCGAGCATTGGATGGCATCGAGAGGTCCAGAGGTCCTCGTCGCCACGACAAAAATCGAGGCGCCGGACCTCCAGGGATGAGGAGGGGAGGAGGGAGGAGGGAAGACGAACAAGAGGGAAAAGGATGATAACGGAGGGGGTCAACAAGAATAGCAGGAGGAGGAGGAGGAGGAGGAGGTGGAGGGGGAGGTGGGTACGCGCTCCAGTGGGAGATGCAAAAGAGGAAAGGAGCAAGAGGAGCCAGTGGAGGTAGGCGCAGAGATGCAGGAGAGAGAAGGGCGGAGGCAGGAGGGTAATTAGGCGAATGGAAGTGGCAGAGGAGGAGGAGGAGGGCGAACAGAATGCCAAAGGCCACTTGGATGCTTCTCAGAGCCTCTTCGGATGTCTCTGGGGAGTTTTTTGTAAGCCTGTTGCGGCGTCATGGGGGCCTCTTGGCGTCCCGTGGGGTCTCTTGAAGCGTCCTCGGTGCCTCGGACAGGCCTTTGGGGGGTCTTGTGGGGGCCTCTCAAGGGCATCTTGGGAGCATCATGCGGTCCTCTTGGGGCCTCCTGGGCACCTACTGCATCTGCGAGGCCTACACCCGCTTCCGCGACAAGAACAAGGAGGCGGTGCCGTTCCAAGGGCTGCAAGCGAACCAGATGCTCGTGGTCCGGCCGCCGACCGAGCAGGGCGAGCTCAAGCCCGTCACGGGCCTGGAGCCCTGGAGCTGCTCCGTGGAGCCGGGCCGCGGCATCGATCCGAGGGTGGCGAGCGAGCGCCTGGAGGGCATCCAGCGCTTGCCCGAGAACGTCCCGCCGATCCACGACTGGAGCGCCTTCGACGGCGACTGCTTCCGCCTTGAGGACTTGCCCAAAGTCTACGAGGAGGACGAGAGACCCCGCCTCCTGGAGTTCCGAGACCTGGACTTCGAGCTCACGAACGAGCAGAAGCACATGATCAGGCCGCCAGAAGACCGATCAAGGAGTTCCTGTTTCCGCGCGCCCTCGAGAACCGACTCGCAAGCATCCGCATGTATAACGAGAGGAGCAGGTGGGCGGCCACGTTCGCGGGCCAGTTCGCGGGCAAGCTGCAGCGCAAATGGCAGCGCAAGAAGAACGAGACTGGCGGCAAGGCCTCGCTCCAGCACCTGAGCCGATGCGTGGTCAAGGCGAAGCTCACAGGCAGAGCCCCCGAGGTCAAGGCGAGCTTCAGCGAGAAGTTCATGGCCATGGTCCACTCGAACCACAAAAAGAAGAAAAAGGCCAAGGCCAAGAAGAAGGCGGGCCTCGAGGCCTGCGAGGACCCCTCCTAGCACGGCAAGGTAGCCCGGGTCATCGAGGAGGTGGTCCGCGAGGGCAGGCGCGGCAAGGTCCAGGACGCGCGGCGAGTCTTGGACGCCGAGGACACCCACCGTCACCGAGTGCACGAGGTGGAGACCGCGGCGATTTTCCATATCGAGAGCATCGAGGCTCGGAGGTTCAGAACGAGGGAAGACGAGGAGGACGAGGACGAGTGCGAGGAGGAGGAGGGGGAGGGGAGGAAGGATGGGGGGGAGGATTAGGAGGAGGAAAAGGAAGATGAGGAGAAGGGGGAACACGAAGGAATCCGATGGACTTCCTATGGGCGCCGATGGGTTCTCAAAGGGATCTGATGGATTTCCTAAGGAACCGCATGAATTTCCAAAGGAACCTTATAGATCTCCTACGGCACATCGTGGATGTTCGGATTCCTATACATTCCTTTAGGAATCGGATGGGTTTCCTAAGGGATTCAATGGATGTCCCACGGAATCGCATGGATCTCTGCAGGAATCCAATGGATCCCCGAAGGAAGCCCACGGATTGCCAACGGACGCAGATGGATTGTGGAAGGAACCCCATGGTTTTTTTGAGGCAGCGCATGGGTGCATTCGGGAATCCTATAGATTTCTTGAAGAACCCGATTGGCCCCTAAATGGATATCATGGACTTCCTCAGAAATCCGATGGATGTCCTAGGAAGTCCGAGTGACTTCCGAGGGAATCTTATGGATGTCCATATTCCTATAGATGTCCTCCGGGATCTGCTGGATGCCCTACGGCATCCAATGGGTGCCCAAAGGAACCCGATGGGTGTCCAAAGGATTATTATCGATTGTTCAAGGAAGCTTGTGTATTTCCTACGGAGCCCCGTGGATGTTCTTCGGAAGCCTATGGATGTTCTAAGGAAGCCGATGGGTTTTGTACGGGCGTTCATGGATGTTTTTGGAAATCCTATAGATGCCCCGAGGATCTCGGTGGCTTTCCGGAGGCATACTTTTGATTCCCAAGGAATCCTGTTCCTCCCCCTCGTTGCGCGCCCGGCCCGAACTGTTTTAATCCCCGTTGCTTGCTACCCCCGCCGATGGGCCGCCACGGACTGCAACGCAGGCGCCATTGCAAACGATTTAAAAGAATTGAGCTTCAAACATAAAAAAAACCTCAGGTCCCGAATCTAAGTTTTGGAGGGAACTGGTCCTAGGATTCCTCCTCCTCCTCCTCCTCCGCCTCCCCCTCCTCCTCCTATCTTCCTCTTCCCTTTCCCCATCCGCCCCCGATGGATTTTCGTTGGAATGGTTCAGGTTGCCGAAGTATGTTTTGGATGTCCTAAGGAACCCCATGAATTTCCAAAGGGGTCCTGTGGCTGCCGGAATGAAGCGTATGGATGTATTTGAGTGTCCGATGGCCTTCCTGAGAATGCCCGTTTACTTTCCTACAGAATCTGATGGTTTTCCGCAGGAAGCCGATGGAAGTCCCCAGGAACCCGATGGATTTCCAAACGAAGCACATGGAATTGTAACCCAAAAGAAAGCACCATGGATGTCCTAAGGAACCTGGCACGCGCCCAGAGGATTCTTGTGGATTGCCGATGTTACAAGATGTATGAAGGAATCCGATGGCTGCCCTCAGGTATCCGAATGGCTTCCGTGGGAATCGCACAGGCTGCCCTTGGACCCCTTATGGATGTCCTATGGTATCATGCGTACTGTCTTGAGAAATATTATGGATTTCCCCGGGAATCATATTTACTTATGGATTCCGGAAGGAGTCCGATGGACTCCTTCCAGGAATCTTAAGAATTTCCGAAGGAATCCTTCAGCCCCGCAGGTCACGGTCGAGCAGGATTACAAGTTCCCCAAGCCGACCAAACTAGATTTGCGCATCTGCAGGTCTAGGCCGCCCTGATGGGATCCGAGTAGATGGGGTCGGTGGATCGCGTCGCCGACGCATCGCTGATGCGGCTCGATGCGGAGCCCGTCTTTCTCCACGCTGACGTCGCCGATGCGTCGCCGACGTCGCCGATGCATGGCCGACGCGCTGCCGATGCATCGGCGATGCTGCGCGACCTTCCGACCGCATCTACTGGGGGCCCCATCTAGGAGGCTTCTGGCAGGGCACCTCGGCGCACAGAGTTCGCCAAGCAGTGCGCGATCATGAATTGCGAGCAGGTCAAGAAGGGCGAGGCGCCCGAGCTGGGCACGGTGAGCGCGCTGCTCGGCGAGACCGAGAAGCGCGCGGGCGTCCCCGAGAACCTCCTGGCGATCGAATCCACGGCGGCCGTCGCCCGGGCTCGAGAGGGCCAGGGCGAGGGCGAGTCCGCCGCCCGGCAGCCCGAGGAGCAGAAGCGCTGGGCCGAGAGAGTCGAGAATGCGGAGCACCGGCCGATCGCGGCGCACTCCAAGGCTCCCTGCGCACTACACTTGTCTCCAGGACGCGGGCGACAACCGCTCTGCCGCGGCCAAGACCTAGGCCAAGGCCAGGAGCAAGGGCAAGGCAAAGCCGCCGAGTGACCCGACAGCGCCAGGGCCCAAGTGCGGCAGCCTCGAGGAGGCGCAGGCCGCAGCGCTAGTGCGCGCGAAGTGCCCCCCGCGCTAGGACAGCTCCAACGGATGCCGAGCCTGCGCGGGCGAGTGGTCTGAGGTTACGCGCAAGAGAGGTTTCTTTGCGAGAACCGCCAACATTTTCCAGTTCTCCGGCGATTAGTCGTCTCGATACGCCCGCACTGAAACGCAGCGCGTCCCGTGTTCAAGACGTCCGTGTCAATGCGCTGCGCGTTGACTCCACGTATTGGCCAACGTTTTGGCGAACGTATCGCGTCGGACCTACGTTTCCAGTCCGCGCGTTGAGCTCCGTATCAATGTGCCACGCGTTACGTGTTGCGCATCGGGGCAGCTAAGCTCCGGCGAGCTCTAGAAACCAACTCTCGCCAAGCACCGAGAGCCGCAAGGGCGAGGAATCGTCGTCTTCATCACCATCGTCTTCCTGGTCTTTAGGACCCCCCATAAATCGCCATGGAAATCCGATGGCTTGTCTGGGGGAACCCGTGGGTTCCCCAAGGGATCTCATGGATT